CAAAATTTATGTAAAAAATTCAAAAAACCAAGTTTTTGGTTTTTTATTTTTATCTTTTTCAAAAAAAAATTTTTTTCCACGAAATTTGGTGAAAACTTACATTTTAATGTCCCAATTACACTGTAATTTATTTGATTTGAAATATGTATTATTTCGCCTTATTTTGACTTAATATCAAAAAAGCACCCTAATTTTCAATCGAAAATTCTCGCGTCAAAATATCAGCTTTTTTCAAAAAGTCAGTGTGCTTTTTGTTCGATGAACTTTCTACTTTCTGATGGTGTAAAAAAAAATATACATTACTATGGTAAATGTTCTCAGAAAATACAAAAAATATTATAATGAATAACGTAATCAGAATGAAGTATCTAAATTCAATAGTATGATTTACATGTATTTTTATATTTTATATTTATTTATTTAGATTTTCTGACATAAATGTTATTAGAATTTAATAAATAAACTTTTTAACTAAAAAAAATTGCAACAATCACATTTCTTGGTGAAATTGTACATAATGATTAAAATAAATTTTCGAATTCGAGTTTTTTTCGTTATTCATTATAATATTTTTTGCATTTTCTGAGAACATTTACCATAGTAATGTATATATTTTTTACACCATCAGAAAGTAGAGATTTCAACCAACAAAAAGCACACCGACTTTTTGAAAAAAGCTGATATTTTGACGCGAGAATTTTTGATTGAAAATTAGGGTGCTTTTTTGATATTAAGTTAAAATAAGGCGAAATAATAAATATTTCAAATCAAATAAATTACAGTGTATTTGGGACATAAAAAGATAAGTTTTCACCAAATTTCGTGGAAAACCAAAAACTTGGTTTTTTGAATTTTTCACATAAATTTTGAGGTTATGTGAAAAAATTGTAATTACAAAAGTTGTAGATCCTTTTATTACCTACAACTTTGCCATTTAACTTTTTTCCATAGGACTTGTAGTTTTGCCGGAAATCGAGATAAACCATTTTTTACCCTTAAAACCCCCCCCCTCCCACTTCCGGAAGTCAGATCGCCCGTAATTTATTTTTCCTTTCATTTTTATTATATTCTTCTTCTTTTCCAATGGGTTTCATCCTACTGTTATTTTTTTTGGTTTCAAAAATTATCGACCCTGGTCTACAGGGTGATTCAAAACTCGAGGCGAAAAATTAAGAAATGTATACAGTTTTATATTCTTGATAAAAAATGTAAAATAAAATTTTTGGAGATATGGCTTTGTTTCCGAAATATTAGACTTTAAAGTTTCTGTATGCAACTAATTTAATTTCATAAATTACAGTAAGCTTAGAAATAAGTGAATTTACTGTCACCTGGTGACAGTCAACAAAAATTGTTTACAAATTTAAAAGTTGCTTTGTTGGATTAGTTGTTTTGTTAATCATGCAGTTTTCTAACGAAGAATATGCAGATATTATTTTTGTGTACGGTTTTTGTGATGGCAACGCATTAAAAGCTTGTCGGGAGTATAACAAAAGATTCCCTAATAAACTACAACCATCTCGCCGGGTGTTTTCCGATGCTTATCAAAGGCTACGAGAGTTTGGAATTGGTAATTCCCGTACTGGTGCTGGTGGTGCTACCCGAAATAATTATTATGATGCTGTGAGGGAAGAAGAAGTGATAGATTGTGTGCTTGATAATCCAGAAATTAGTACCAGACGCATTGCTGCCCGTCTTAATGTATCCCAAAGTTTTGCTTGGAGAACCTTAAAAACCGAAGTTTTACATCCATTTCATAAACAAAAAGTACATAATTTGCACCCAGGAGATAACATGCAACGACTCGCCTTTTGTCAATGGCTTCTTCAGCAGCATGAACAAAATGAAAATTTCTTCAGAGAGACGCTTTGGTCGGACGAAGCTACTTTTACTCGGGATGGCATAAATACCTGCCGTAATGAACATGTATGGTCTTTAGAAAATCCTCACGCTTTTAAAAGAAGAAATTTTCAACAAAGGTTCTCTATTAATGTATGGGGCGGAGTCTTTAACGGACAATTACTTCCGATTCAAGTCCTTCCTAATCGTTTAGATGCCTATGCGTACTTGCAATTTTTAGAAAACGATCTCACAAATTTGCTGGAAGATTTTCCTGTGGATTTGGTATACAATCGTATGTGGTATCAGCACGACGGAGCACCACCGCATGTTGGACGAAATGTTGTCGCCTGGTTAAACCAAACTTTTAATGGGAGATGGATTGGTCGGCGTGGTCAGGTGCTATGGCCTGCGAGATCACCTGACTTGAACCCTTTGGACTATTTTGTATGGGGCCATTTAAAACAACTGGTTTACGCAGTGGAAATTAATAACCAAGAACAATTAATGGAACAAATTATTAATGCAGTCGAAAGCACTCAAAATAGACAAAACATGCAATTAGTATACGATTCCCTTATTTTGCGTTGCCAAGCCTGTATTCGCGCTAATGGTGGTATTTTTGAACATTTGATTTAATTATTTTTTATTTTTTATATTATGTAATAAAGTTAAAAATTAATCACATGCAAATACTTTGAAGTCTAATATCTCGGAAACAAAGCCATATCTCCAAAAATTTTATTTTACATTTTTTATCAAGAATATAAAACTGTATACATTCCTTAATTTTTCGCCTCGAGTTTTGAATCACCCTGTATAACTAAATAAAACCATGATTTAAATACCTTGTGGAAATATCAAAAAATATCAGTAAAATGTCACTATGCCAACACGAGAAACAAAAGAATTCACGTTTGCGGAGTCATGTCAAATTTAAATTTTGAATAATGTTTTCGTTGAAAAAGTACGTAAAAAACTTAAAAAATTCCAATCGTGCACTTTATTTAGGTTTTCATTAAAGAATAAACATATTACAAAATAAAAGAAAAAAAATTAAAAAAAATCGTCAAAAAGCTGAATTTTGATATCCACTAAAAAATTCAACTTCGCCAATTTTCCATTTCCATTTTTATCAACATTGTTTTTTTTTGTAAAAATGTCAGCGTCATGAAAAGAAATATATTTTTGATTTAAACCTTTCCCAGGACGATATGTAAATTTTCGACCTCAATTTTTGCCATAAAAACGAATTTTTTAACTTATTAAAATAGCTAGCGTCACAATACTTATCCGATATCAAAAGTATGTAAATGAAAGTTTTAGAGGGCTTAAATACCTTCAATTTAAGGGCTTGTTTGACCTAATCGATCAATTAGATTTCAAGCTATACTCAAAAACGTCAAAACACCTCCCAAAACTAAAAAAAATCAATTAAAAATTCATATTTCAAAAACGCTTCCTTAAAAAATAATTTAGTGTGATTTTCGTGTTTAGTGGGTAAAAATACATGGGAAAATTATAATGGGATATGGCACAATTTTTTTTCGATTTTGTAAACTAGTGTTCCCGAGTCAAAATTAAGATCGTAATTTAAACCTTAAGTCTGACAATTTCCGTCTTAAACGGTTTTATATTCGCCTAAAGATAACCAACTTATGACCTAAAACATGGCAGATAAGTCCATTTTCCCGATTTTTCGGTTCTAATTACGTTTAAATTTAAACCAAAAATTTTATTAGAGGTTTAAATCGGTTTAAACCGGTTCAAATGAAGATTAATTCGGTTGTTCTAGTGCTAAATTGGAGTAAACAGACTGAACAGGTTTTAAATCAGTTTTGGTAGGTCAAAGTAGGTTTAAATTACGATTTAAATTTTGATTCGGGTTATTTGCCAAGTTTCGATCAATCTGCATTATAAACGCTTTGCCAATTTTCGTGCAAAAACTTCATTACAAACGGAGTTGGACAAAAATAACTCTATTTAAGTCTTTATTTTCATGCAGCTTTTGTGCTATCGGTTTGGGAAATGATTGGCATAAAATATGTCAATTTTTGGTAAAACTTAATGAAAATACAATTTATATGTCGAAATAACCAGAGTCAAAATTTAAATCGTAATTTAAACCTAGTTTGACCTACCAAAACTGATTTAAAACCTGTTCAGTCTGTTTACTCCAATTTAGCACTAGAACAACTGAATTAATCTTAATTTGAACCGATTTAAACTGATTTAAACCTCTAATAAAATTTTTGGTTTAAATTTAAACGTAATTAGAACCGAAAAATCGGGAAAATGGACTTATCTGCCATGTTTTAGGTCATAAGTTGGTTATCTTTAGGCGAATATAAAACCGTTTAAGACGGAAATTGTCAGACTTAAGGTTTAAATTACGATCTTAATTTTGACTCGGGAAACCCCAATTAATGTAATATATCGTACACCACCCGAGTCAAAATTTAAATCGTAATTTAAACCTTCTTTGACCTACCAAAACTGATTTAAAACCTGTTCAGTCTGTTTACTCCAATTTAGCACTAGAACAACCGAACTAATCTTCATTTGAACCGATTTAAACCGATTTAAACCTCTAATACAATTTTTGGTTTAAATTTAAACGTAATTAGAACCGAAAAATCGGGAAAATGGACTTATCTGCCATGTTTTAGGTCATAAGTTGGTTATCTTTAGGCGAATATAAAACCGTTTAAGACGGAAACTGTCAGACTTAAGGTTCAAATTACGACCTTAATTTTGACTCGGGCACCATTAGGTACTTCAAACCCGAGTCAAAATTAAGATAAGTTTTGGTAGGTCAAAGTAGGTTTAAATTACGATTTAAATTTTGACTCGGGAAGGCTTTATATTTTTGAAAATTCTTAAGAAATAAATTTATTTTATATTTTTAACTTAAACTTTATGCTTAAATAATTGTTAAAAATGTTATTTTACATCTTTAAATGAAAATTTCTTTAAATTAAATGTTTCCCATAATGAAATTTTGTCAATACAATTTACAAACAGATATCGGATTTTTTTTTATAATTATTAATGAAATATTGTCAGTAAATCAACAATTTGCGGAATTATATTTAGTTCATTGATAATTTTAATCAGATAAATAAATATTTGAGTAAAAGTATAAATGCCAAAACATAAACATTAACGAACCAGTATTTAATTCAACAAATCAACATGATGAAAGGTATGTAAATTGTAAATTCTGATAATAAATTTTAATAATAATTTTACAGTTGGAGTTTTAATCCTATATTTATCAGTGTGCAATGGTTTAGCGACAGACTCATTTTGTCCATTTCCATCTGACAAAATTACATTTTTCCCATTCCCAGGGAACTGCCAAAAATTCTACGAATGCCTTAATGGACATGCCTTTGAATATAATTGCCCACCAAACCTTTATTGGAACCAAAAGATTGTCGAATGCGACTTTTTAGAAAATGTTGAATGTGAGGACGGTGAGTAAAATTACAAAAACAATTTTTGCCACACTTATTTATTTAAATATTATTCAGGACCTGTGCCTGCATCTGTGCCTACTACTGAAGTACCCGATGTACCAACACCAGTAGTGCCAACTGGTAAGTTTAAATTTTATCGGTAATACAAAATAATGATTTTGTTTCTCATAAAGTAGCTCCCCCTGATGAAACTTGTGTTGGTTTTTCACCAAATGAGGCAACGTTAATTCCCTATCCAGGAGACTGCTCAAAATACTATGAATGTTTTGCTGGAAAAGCTAATATTATGCCATGTCCACCAGGTCTTTTCTGGGATAACCCAAAAAAAACCTGCGATTTTATATGTGTACCTTAAATAAAAAAATAATATATTTTTATGCCTAAGAATTGAGTTTGATTTCTTTGATTTCCTATAACGTCAATTTAGATATGCTTATAAATTCGCCTTTTAAAGCTATAGCAATTGTGTTAATTGCGGCTGAAGTTAGCAACAGGTTTTTATTTACAGGCTAAAGTTAGTTTGAAGTTAGTTGACAGTTCCTTTCTTGTAAAATAATACTAAATGTGAAAATTATTTTATTATTTCAATACAAAAATACAAAAGTATTAAATAGTTTCTTAACGCCAATATTTAAAAAGATTATATGAACGTTTGAATTGACCTTTTGGTTTCGCCGTAGTAGTGCAGTTAACAAGATTTAACTGATAAAGCATTAAAAATTTTGCGTACAGTGCCCATTAAACATTCTCTTCTCTTTTATTGTGAAAAACTGCTTCTACAGTGTGACCCATTTGTTTGCGACTCACCCCTGTATAATCTTTATTTATTGTGCGATTTTAACCGGATTTGTTTTAAAGTGTAGATCTTGATATACTGTATTTTTGGAGCAACGCCATATTAGTACAAAATACAAGGCCTACTATGTCAGTTTTTAAGAGTAAACTTTTAAGGATTCATATTAGCGATTTTTTTAAACAAAATCTAAGCACGGCACTGGATTCACAACCCTTCAAAACGACCCTATACTAAATTTTATTGAAAAATTTTAAGAAAAAAAAATCACAATAAAAACGAAGAAAATTATTATTATACAAATATTTGTTTTAAATCATTTTTTAGATAATACTTATTAAGTATTTGTCATAAACTTTTCTAGGAACTCGTGACTAAAATGGCGTTTATCAAACTTGGTAGATAATATACTATTAAAATAAAATGTATATGGGTTAATATTTTAAAACTGTCGATTTTCGAAAACATTTTCGTTAACACATAAAAAAATTGCAAATCTTATTAATTTTGCACTTTTAGGACTTTTCCACTCAACATAGAAATGAAGACTAAAAACGTAATTTTTTTTGTCTTTTTTAGAAAGTTGAAGTTCTGCGTCTCTCACGTTCTGCTTGTCTTTTAGCTTCGTTGGTCAACTTGTTTCGTGGTTTTGTCATTTTAATTAATTTCCCACTGAAATGAAATATTTTAAATTGGTTACATGTGAGGGACACGACAATGACGAGCACGGTAATGATGATTTTAAGGTTAGAGTGTTTTACAATGTTTATTCGAAAATGTAATGGAATTTTCAAGTTACCATTTGCTTTTTGTTAATGCAAGACTTCTTTGTATTAATGTAAATATTCTGTATGTCCATAAACTTTGAAATAATACTTACCCCGACAATGAAGGACTTAGACGTAACAAGTCGTTTTCGTTTTCATTCGGCATACGTCACAACTTTATGGTTTGACATATGCTAGTGGACGTTAGACAGGCAGGATATTTCCATATCAGACGTTCGAAAACTTCCGGCATTTTCCAAATGTATCGCGTATTTCAATATGAAATTAGACACATTTTAAGTAGCCACGGCAATGACGCTTATGGGTGTAAACAAAGTTTAAACTGAATTAAAAGAAAAGTTAACATTTTAAAATCCAATTTCTTGTTTGCATTGTATTATTTTGTATTTTTTCTTCTGAGTTAGACAGGATATTGCAAGAATTATTTTGTAAATAAATGTGAGAAAATAATATGTTGTTGTTCTTCGAATGTGAACAAGGCACGGTAATGACGTTTGCGACATAAAAATTAAAATATATTTTTTACTATGCTCGTTTAGACTAAAATAAGTAAGGAATCAAGTAAAAATAGTTAATTAAACTAGACATCAAGTATTCTATTTTCAGTGGGATATTAACTTTTGAAATATATTTGTTATAACAAGCTAGAACCGATTGAATTACACTTTTGAAATATTCAAACATAAACCCAATAAAAAAACGCTTAAATAATTATTATTAATTTAATTATAACAAGTTATTTATTAGTAAAAAACAAAATTGAAATTCAATGAGTTTGGTAGGTCAACCCGGTAACTAATTAGTTTAGTTTTACGAATATGATATTATATAATTATATATAATTATATAGTTAACTACAGGTTGTAGCAAAATGGATTCATAATTAAGATTACTGGTTTGTTATGACATACAATGTGAGTGCCCACGATTTTATATCAAAAATAAATTAACAAACCAGTAATGGTATTTATATTTAAATATTTAATAGGATTTAGCTTTAAAAAATCCAAAACAAGTTAAGGTTAACAGTCTAATTGACCGGTAGAATCAACCTTTAGTGTTAGTTGTTCATTACACTGGTCAACAGCCATTTTGTCCCCAAGTTGATTTGTCATCTGACGTGTTGAACTGTTTGATTTATATTCATACATACAGGGTGGGCCAATGGAAAGTTTTCAACCCGATTTTAATAGGTGTTACGTAAAAAAATAGAACACATCTATTTTTAATTTTAGAGGTACAATTTAATGTTATATTTTCAAAACAAAAAATTTAATTTTGTTAACCAGTGTTATTTGAAGCAGTGTATTAACAACAATAAACATACGCGCCTTTAAATAAATGAATGAACACTTTTAATATCTTTCGGCATCTCAGACAATATACATAGTCTATTAATAAACTTCGCCTAATTCGTTTACCATTTAAATTTTTTGTTTACACTACATTACATAACATATTAAAACTTTTTACTGTAGGATACTTTTTAGTTAGTGTAGGAAGTGCTTTAGCCATTTAATAATACGAATTAAGATGTGTCAACGCTTTACGGTTCTAATTCTGTTTTTCTATGTTATACGAAATGTGGATTGTGCCAATTATGTCAATGATACCAGACGTCAGGTGGATAATGATAGCAGATATAGGCAGGTACTTAATTTTTTATTAAAATATTTCGAATATTTAACGAGCAATATTTAAGAAATACTTAATTTTTTTTCCGATAACAGTTGTGTGTACAAAAAAATCAACCCCACTAACTGACTTTACCTGATGTTTTATTTACCCACAACTGACCAATAGTCGCACACGATATTTTCTTTAGCTACCGCAACAAATATAAATAGCAAATTACTCAATTTTTTGTTTTTGTCTAAAATTCCAAATTTCCTTGTTACTTATTTTACGAAATGTCCCCCTAAGGTGTTACCCCGTGAAATGTAATAAACCTAAATGAGTTTGACCTACACTTTTATTGTGTTTTGTTCTTTCATAATTAAGTAGATATTACAACTCAGGTTCCAGAATTTTAACCGCAGGTTAACCTATATGTTTCACTAAGTAAATTAAACACATCCAAAGCAATCGAATCAAATATAAAATATTATTAAAAATTAAAAGAAATAATTTTTATAAACATTTATGTAGGTGTTAGAAAATTGATTCTATCCTCCGTGAATCTGTTTTTGCTTTAAATTTTATGCAACGGATGGCGCTTTAATCATTTTAAATAATCAAAAACCTCTGTTTACGACATTATAGATGCATGTGATTACCGGAGGTCAGTTAGAATTTATATGCAGATGAGAGTGTTGCTGTTTTATAATTCAAAAGTTTAAGTTAATTAATTTTCTATTTAAAAACCTATCCACTGTGAAGTGTAATATCTCAGTAAGTAGATTTTTTGTTTAAATATTTTATGATGAAAAATTGTATTTTTAAAAAGATACAATAACTTATTTCAAATATACAAAGGGATGTTTAAAAACATACGAAATCCTAACCTCCGTGAAGCTATAATATTCAAAATGTATGATTTCTTAAAATTCTTGCATTAGTGCAGAACCACTTATGTTTTGTTATTACTAGACTTGGTGGCTTCCCAAAAACCCCATTCTGGACTAACAGTGAAACAACCATAAATAAAAAATAATCATTTTCACTTGGGGGACATCTTAATATATTCACCCATATATATTTATATATTGTGACACAATAATTGTGTTGAGTACCTTACAGTATTACCGGTTTTTTTAAGAAAAAATAATGACCTTCTCTTTAGCATGGTATGGTCTAATATATACTTGATATTTAACAAAAGATTCATTCATACCTACACATAAAAAAACCATCACAAATATTTTCTAATCATATTCAAGGTTCGAGGTTAAATATTTAAAAAAAATTTATTGGCACGCATACAAGCAGATAAATAATTAATTAACGATCCTTCAATCGAATGCCAATATTCTTGTTAAAAGGCGGGGTTTTTATAAAAAATGGATAAATACCTGTAGGTAAGCAAAAACAAATAAATTAAAACAATTACTTTATTATTGGATAATTACTTCAATAAGTACCTACGTAATTTATTGCTATATAAAGAATTTCAAACAGTTTCTTAAAAGGCTACTTATAATTTTTATAAATAAGAAAAACGTTTATATTTATAATACTTATTAATAAAAATATTACATAGTTATAAGAACATTTCAATTCACGAGAAAGGTTTTACATCCTATTGTAGCATTACATTCTACAAAACTAAATAGTAATTAGTATAGGTCATAAAGTTAAATTGCAACTTTGTAGTAGTTTAATTTCCCACAAAAATTTTTAACAACTTTATTGTAATAGTAAAAAATTATATATACAGGGTGAATCATTTAACTTGAAACAATATTTCAGTTAGTATGCATTTAACGAAAAAATGTTTAAAATAAAAATTAAATGATTCGAGGGGGGAAATCAATCAGTACTCCTTAATAAGGAGTCCTTATAGGGGGAACACGGGGTAACTTTAAAATTTCCAATAGAACACCCTATTTTTTATTGCAGATTCGGATCATTCGACTAAAAATAGGTAGATTTTGTTTAAAACATTTTTTCATATTTGTAATAGATGGCGCTGTAATGAAAAAAAAAATCAATTTTGTTCGATTTTTGTCCTTATACGATTCTGCAATAATTTTTCTATAAAAATATCACTTTATTTGGGAATAATTATCTTATTAAATTAAATCTGATTTTTTAAGTACCCACGATTTTTTAACTAATATTTAAGTTTCCTTTGGTTTAGGTTTTATACATTATTTCATTCGGTGATATACCATTAAATCCTTTAATTTAAAGGATTATTGTACTATCTTTAATAAAAATACCTCATTTAAGGTAAAAAAAAACAATATTTTGTCATAAGAAAAAATTGAACCTACACCTCGCCAAAGTTTTTTGTTTTGAATGCGTTCCACCAACTTCAAATACTGACAGACAGCTGTTTCGACCTATATTGGGTCTCATCAGTGTCGGGCAACTTGTTGGAACACAATCAAAACAACATTTTTTCAATTAATTAATTTAATCCTATTTGAGGTATATAAAAATGGTATTTAGTTATAAAGAATAATTATTATTGAGGTATAAAGAAACTATTTGCACATAGTTTAGCATTATTTAATCAATTTAGTTCGAAGATTAATTTGCAAACAAAAAGACCTCCTTTCGTTAACCAGTTATTCATAATGGATTTTTTAACATTGGAAGAAAAAATAAAAATGATTTTGATTTATGGAGAAGCAGGCAGGAATCTTGATGATGCTGTTAATATCTACGCTCAGCGTTTTCTGGAAAAAATTCGATCACGTACTTCATTTCACCAAGAGTTCGTCGAGCAACAGTCACAGGTGGAAATAAATAAATAAATTTAAAAAATACAACCACGTATTTTATTCCAACATTATTGGAGAATCGTATACAGAAGAAAAATCGAACGAACAAAATTGATTTTTTTTCATTACTGAGCCATCTATTACAAATATGAAAAAATGTTTTAGACAAAATCTACCTATTTTTAGTCGAATCTGCAATAAAAAATAGGGTGTTCCATTGTAAATTTTTAAGTTACCTCCTGGTCCCCCTATAAGGAGGAGAGTATGAGGACCAATTTTAGTACTGATTGATTTCCCCCCTAGAATAATTCAATTTTTATTTTAAATATTTTTTCGTAAAATGCATACTAACTGATATTTTAAAGTTTCAAATTTCACCCTGTACAATGTACAGTGTACATATCAAGTTTTTTTTATTGTAGACATTTTTTTTTTCAAGTCAAATTTTATAAGAAAAAATTGAACCTACTCTAGCGAAAGAATTGTCAACATTCAAATAAATTACGTGAAACTTTTATATTTACCTAGTATTTTTAGTGTAATGTGTTGCACAAAATAACAATATTTGTATTGTAATATTGCGAAATGAATTTTCTTCAGTTCAGTAAAATTGTAAAATATATTTTGTAATTTTCTTAAACCGAGTTGAAATTAATTGTATAGTATAATTACAATATACCATTTTAAAATTACTAAACATATTTAGGATTTTTTTAGCAAAATTACAATATATATATGGTAACGTTACTGAACAAATTTTAAGTTTTATTATTACTATATTGTGGTGCGTAAAAAATTTTTAACAGTGTATTTTTCCGAAGATTTTTGACTTGCTGAATCCGAATTCGACCTCAAAATTGCTTTGAGAAATTCTAACTCAAAAGTGTTTTTTCTCAATTCTTTTAATATAGGTACCTATATATTAAAAAAAAACTTGAGAAATTGAGAAAAAAATTATACAAATAAACAAATTTGTGCTTCTAAACACTAATTTTCTTAATCAAACAATATTACTAGAATTATGCATAAAAAAATATGTTTGTTATTATTAACAATAATAGCCGTGCCAAAAAACAACTATTTTTGTCAAGTTTGCACATATAAATAAACTTTGTATTTTTTTTGTTGAAAAATATTAAAGGCTAATTTTTTTATTTATTTTGCTTTGGTTTGTTGCACAAAAGTTATGATTGTATAGGCTGTTTTAAAAATCGCTAATGCCGGAACCAGTGACATTTCTCCTAAGGGTCCAATTGTCAAAACCAAAGGTCTTTGGCTTACAAGTAACATAAGCCTAAGGCAATCTTTGGACTTTTTGTTGAAATTGTAGTAGTTTGAGTCGCAAATAGCTAGTGCCAGATCAGGGCTCTAAAAATAATTTTATATAAAATTAATTATTATTAAAATTAATCAGGATGTCTTAAAAAAAACGTACGTACCTGTGATTTAATTTCGTCGGCAGTATAATGTAAAATCATAATTTCGGCAATTTTTTGTAAAATGAACACTACCTCATAGAAAAAAATAACTCCAATTTTAAACTACAAAAATTAATTTTTATGGTAATTTGTTTTTTTGTATTATGTTTTGCTTACTTCCAGTAGGGACAATAGGTTAGCTGCCACATGCATGGAATTGGTAAAAAATTCCAAAAATAATAAAAAACTTATGTATCTGTTTAGTTCAATAACCAATCTAAAATAAAAAATTAATCACTTTTAAACAAAATCAATAGTTATTTTAAAAGTTTTAACGATTTTTCAATTTAAGAAAAAGATTTTGGTTATTAACTATTAAAATTTAAACATATAGTAAGTCCACGGATGGACTTAACTATAATTGTACAAATATTTATTTTCAATTTTTCGAGAAAAAGTCATTCATTATTCATAATTTCTTGTGCTTGTTATATAAATACGATTCGCGTTGAGAAACATCCATTTAGTTGTAAAGGGTGGAAGAATTGATTTTCGAAATCAAAATATTTTTTTTTTGAAGCTCTAATAGGTATAGAGTTAAGGAGAAATCAAAAAGTCAAATAAATTTTAAAATTCATAAAAATCAGTACCCATAAAAAAACCGATAAATATTCTTATGTGAAATCAAATGCTTTACAAAAAAAGCCTCTTAACATTTTTGGCTAAATTCATTCAATCAATAGTTATTATGAAGTCATAACGAAATTCTTGTCAAATTTAACCTTGAATAACTTTTGATGTAGTGAATTTAGCCAAAAATGTTTTGAAGGCTTTTTTTGTAAAGCATTTGATTTTACATAAGAATATTTATTGGTTTTTTTATGGGTACTGATTTTTACATAAATTTTAAAATTCCAAAGTTAAAAGATCAAAATGTAAAACTATACCAATGTTTAGGGCATTTAACCTTTTTTGTAGAGCATTTAATTTTCTTACAAAAATATTTTTAAGTAAATTTTGTTAAACTCAATGGTTTGGGAGTTCTGAGACAAAAACTTGATGAGGAAAAAAAAATTAAAATTGCGATGATAGACCTCATAATATTAATATTATGGACTCAAACTTTCACAATATTTTTCTTTGTCGCCCCAAACCATATTTTCGATAGGTATACTTTCAAAAAAAAAAAATAGTTGATTTTTTTGGCCCAGTCTAATTTTTATATTTGGGTCCTCTTAAAAACGCCGACAACTGCATTTTACTGTTGAGTGGAGACTTTCTTAGACTAGCGATGCTTTTTTAGAGTAATAATTGTAGATCTATTTTTATGGTTTTCTAGATATTAAAAAAGGTTGTGCAAAATTGTATTAAACAAAAAAATACATTTTTGCCACATGTTATTGGCACACCTTGTATATTATAAGTTGTAATTTAATAATCTATTTAATTTAAAAAAAAATATATAAAAAAAATAATTGAAGGAGCATCCGGATCCTCGAAGGGGTCGCCAATCGTGCGACACTGACCAACTAGAATACCGTTTGACCCGTCTTGAGGTGCAAGTGGCGGAAAAAACAGAAAATCTCCGGTCGGAAATTCGCGAGGGCAACAGAAGACTCCAGGCACTCGAGTATCAGTGCGCCGAGGTGCACACTGCCTTGGACAACTTCAAAAATGAAATCAACAGATACGCTGAAATCAGGTAACAATGGTTTTAAATTTATTTTTCCACTCCCACCTTTAAAACGCCCAGTATCGTACATGTTTCCATGACACTAAGTGACCTTTTAAATACACATTGACAAGCTGTGGCTTTATGGCGCTTTAGTCATGGGCTGAAGTTAGTTTTAAGTTAGTTGACAGTTGTCAAATGTCATACAATCGTTAAAATAAAGTCCCTTTCTTGCAAAATAATACTAAATGTGAAAATTATTTTATTATTTCAATACAAAATACACAGAGAGCCATATCAGGTCAAAACTTGGCCAAGAATTGCCCTTTCACCTTCGGAAAAGTTTTGCCAATAAATTTACAATATAGGACTTAATATTCCTGTGACTTTTGTACAATAAATAATCAAATTGTGCCCAATTATATACAAAAGCAGTTTGGATTAAGTTAGGTAGGTTACCGTTGGTTTAATTTTGGGAATGTTTGGGCATGGAAATACGATGACAATTTTTTTATGTTTATTTGGGCAATTAGGGTTTTAAAAAATTTACCATGATATGATATTGGTAAATATTTGAACAAATCCAGAGTATTTACAAATGTTATAATTATATTTGAAAGAATATTACCAAAAAAGCTTTTTCTCGTTTAGAAAATTGGGTAAATAAAACGCTTTAAATAAGAGCTGCACAGAAAAAACGCTAGCATAGCATGAATGGGTAAGCCATTAAACCAATGGGATCTTGTAATCCGTATAATACCAATAAGTAGTTAGCACTTGGTTTATAATAGTTTACTGTTTTCAAATTAACAGCAAAAGTTATCGCTCCTAAATCTATTCATATTGATATTTATTTGTTAGAATGGTAGAATGTTATTGCATTAAATACTAATTTGATTTATTTAATAACGTTACTATTGTATGTATACTATGTATACATTTAACGCAATAAATTCTTTGACATTTAGGTAAAATATTTCCCAATTTTGGTTTAATAGTAATTAATTGAGCAAATAACAATTTAGATTGCTTCAATTTTAATGCATTCAATGACAGCGCCGTTCTTGGTACTATGTTAGATTTTTTCTGTGTGGGCACAAGTACTAAAATAAGTATTCGTAAAATTTTAAGTACGAGTACAAATATTTACTCGTAAGTACATTTGTAAAGAGAGGTTACGGTTACGAGTAGTAATCGTGAAAACACGAGTAAAGAGTTAGTTAGTTAGTTAATTTAATTGATTATTCTTTATAAATTATACCTACAAATGTATACATTTGTAGGTATATACTTTGGTCCTGAGCTATAAAAATACAAATACAAATTTATAAAATTATTTATTTTATACATTACACATAGAAAAGTAATCTCTTGATTTTACTATATCTGTCTTGACTCAAATAAATTATTTATTTCGATATGATACAAGAAGATATTTATTTAGTGGAAAACTTGGGTTTATTTGACTTTTTAAACTGATGGTTTGTTTAATACAAGTAAATATTTAGTTGACTTTTTATCTCAGGTTTAGTAGAATCTTACTTAAAGAAACAAAACATTTACTTGAAGTAAGTAATTCATTTTTTAAAATTAAATGTGAAGCTTTCTTAAAGAAACAAAATATTTACTTACATGAAGAAAACAATTCATTTCAGACAAATAATTAGTACCTTTTAATATTATTATTTCACGAAATATATAGTGATTGAACCAAACAAATGTTTGCTTGTTTTAATACTATGATTTATTTATTTTAATGTTGTTAATTACTTGATATTTGGTCGGGAAAATTAAATTAAAAAACGTTTATTCCAATATTTTTTATTTGAACAAAACAAGTGTACACTTGTTTTGTTGTAAATACGTATTTACAATAAACATTAAAAACACACAATATAAAATTAACAATAAACAAAACATATAATATATGAGCAGACAAAAATAGGAACAAAAAATACTTCAGTCACTGAAGTTCAGTGTAAATATTAATGCACGGCATTAATAAAATACAACAAGTCTGTGGGTAAAAGTCATAAGAGGATAAGTCAAAACAAGCAATTTTTCAGCAGAACCTTAAACGTGTTCGCATTAATTCAGGAAATATATTTATGGGACATTTGAACATTTTCAAAAACTTAATTTATTATTATCAGATACGTATCTTTGTTGAAAACACCTACCTAGGTAGGTACCTATAGTTTAAAAACAAATACATATAGTTTGCCAACCAAAATTACTTGCACTTGTCAAATACAAAAAGAAACGGTTTATTTTTAGTTTATGGCCTGTAAGTAAAATGTGCAATTATATTTAAAAGCAACAAGTCAAGTCTGAGACATGCATGATCCAAAATAAAATAGGTACCCATATTATCATATAACTTTGTAGTTTCCAAACTACCTAGGTACACAAAATTTTAATGAACTAAATCACTTTTACTTACCAACAAAACTAAAAAGTAAATGAGTTAAATTATTTTCTTTAAAGAATTCTTCCATACTATTAAACATAAGCACTTAAACACAAAACTATAACCGTTGATTAAACACCTCCTTTTAAGTTAAGAGTCTTAAGTTAAGACGCTTAACGCTTTGCCAAGGACGCTCTGCGAGTTTGTTTGCAAATGCTGCCGGCTGCCGGACAAGAATCTTTTTCTTTGGAGTCAAATGCTCTAATTGGCTCCGCGAGTCACGTGGACATAAAAGCAAATAAATATGTATTTGCTTCAAGTAAATGTATTTTTGAAACAAACAAATCACGTGTTTAGGTTAATTATATGACATAAATTGTATCAATTCTATTATTTTGTTAAAATAAGATATTATATGCTTGTATTAACATTTGATAAAACTAAATCCATACAACCTATATCCAAACAATTTAATTAATTGCTCTAAATAAATATTTCTTTACAATTAATCACAACAATATATGTTTTCAAGAAACTCATGATTTACAACCAAATAATAGTATTTTCTTATTGTAAACAAGAAGTTACTACAAATAAGACAATTTTACTTCATACAAGAAAAACTGTTTCAAATAAATGCATTTTCTTAAATCAAGAGATTACTTTTCTCTGTGTAGGTACAGGTCGCCCCCTTTAACTTTTTTATTTTAAGTGTCCCAAAAAATTTAAAAGTGTGGATATGTAGGTACTAAAAAATACTTTTTTTTTCAAGCGGCCATGATATACAACCTTATATGCATGTATAGAGATAACTGAAGTGCGTCTTTTACATTAGCGGCAGACAAACAACTCATAAAAGCCTAGGGATAGAAGTAAATCCATAGGTGACTCAATAGACGTCAAATAATAAAATTAATTTAGCATTTCATACAAAGCAATCACGATGTATTAATTATATTAATTATAATCGCACGGAATATTTAGTAATTATTTATTAAATTTTAATTGAACGAAATAAAGAACAACTAGTTTATTAGTATAATATTATGATGATAGACGAGTCGCCAATGTCGGAACTCCAAACAAATGTCAGTACGTCAAAATTAATTCAAGCGCAGCATTTTGACAGAGCAGGGTTTATTTTTAGTTTAGCATTTTTATCGGCATTGTAAGGGTTATAAGTTTTTTTTTAGTTTTTATCAATAATTTCTAATGCTTTTAGCCAAAATTTTATACAACGTGAGTTATGAGTAAATAAAATAATTCTATTGCTTATCCTATTTATATTACACCCTTGAAAAAAAAATTGTATATGTTATTCGTACAGTTGCCGGCCTCAGCTACGCTTCGGCCGTCAATCTCTGTACTCACCACAAAAAGAGTCACTTCTACTCCTTATGACATTTTTCTATTCTTCCACTAAAAAAAATTCGAAAATCGATCAGTATACAGGAAAAAACAAAAAGTTTATTTTTTCTCAATGGATCACCCTACATATAAATTTATTTTTCGATTCCTTGTAAAATTCTAAGCATAAATCATATAACATACCGTATATTTCAACCGTTTCTGAAATATTCGCATTTAAAACGTTATCATCAAATATTTTTTTACAAATCAAGAAGCCTTAGAATAACAAAATGTTTATTGAAAATAAATAACTATAGTGACATTATGTCAATATGTCTTGTTAAGTAAGTAAAAATGGCGTACTTAGACCGAGAACGACAAACTATTTTAACTTAATAATAATAATGCTTTATTGAACTAAAACCAAGTTCAAAGGCTATTGACCGTAGTCCTTCAGCCGTATTTTAACTTATTATCTTAAAAATAATTTAAATATTTCAGAAACGGTTGAATTTAGGTATATGGTAGGTTATATAAATTATGCTTAGAATTTTACAAAAAATCCCAGTATACTGATCAATTTTCCAATTTTTTTATACGTAGAAAAAAAGTATTTACATAACCAAATTTTTAATTTTTTTGGCACTTTGACACTTAAAATAAAAAAAATATAGGGGGCGACATTATAGGGGATCATCCTGTACCTAAAATAATAAATAAAAATAACAATCCTTAAATAGTTTATAATTTTACCTATGGGCGATTCCATGATTACTAACGGGACAAGCAAAAAAACCAAAATGTTTTCGTATGAACATTTTTGAAGATGTGTTGTTCCTATAATAATAATAATTTTATGCCAGTCCTTAGCAATGAAATTAAGTAATAATAACTATTATAAAATTATTATTACATGAAGAACGCATCTTTATAATTTTCCGAGTAATTTTCATAAAACATTTTGTCTTGTTTTTGTTTGTCCAGTTAGTAATCATGGAATCGCCTCTAACCCGCTCAAGCCATTCAGTTGGCTTCTGGGACTTCTTAGGAAGTAAGGGTGGAACCAAAAGATCACTTTTGTATATAAAGATCATTTTTGACTTCCAAACAAAATGTTTTGATGCTTACGATATTTTGGCAAAAAGTCATCGATATAATAAACGGTAACCCAAGAACTTCTAAAATAAAAAAACAAATTAATATTAAATTCAATGCAAAAATTATAATTACCTTGCTCACTTCAGGCACTATAGATCTTTTATCCCAATAAATACTCTTTTCCTCTGTGAAATATAAGTAGAAAATTTATTTTTAAATTGTCCTGCTTGTAGTAAAAGTCTTGTACGCATACAAACTATTTACTTAGAAAAAGGCAGTTCTCTTTCTTCACTGCAACTTCATGCAACGAAATGAAAATATGTAACAATGAACAAACAATAATTACATAATATATTTAGAACTCCAATGTACATTTATATTACTTCTAAATAAACGAGGGAATAACAATCTTCGAAAAGTAAGAAATTATTTATTAAAAAACTTGAAAACATAACTCTAATTACTTAATCCAAATTTAAAGCCGTTTAAAACTTAATACACGTTTAGTAAGTGCACAGATGATTATATTTTTTTGTAAAAACTTTCACACAAGCACTTTTTACTTGACATATTAATTAACTTTTTACTATAACTCGCTATTGCGCATAGTAAACTGATTCTTTTTCCATGCTGATCAATTATTTTCCAAGTTTCGATCAAACGCTTTGCCAATTTTCGACCAAACTTCATTACAAACGAAGTTGGCCAAAAATAACTCTACTTAAGTCTTTATTTTCATGCAGTTTTTGTGCTATCGCATTGGGAAATAAAATATGTCAATTTTTGATCAAACTTAATGAAAATACAATTTATGTATCCAAATAAACCTCAATAAATGTAAAATATCATACACAAAAACTTATTTGGAAAAAAGTTGACTAAATTCTTTCCAAAATCATGGTTCTCTGGGTTACTGTGAAAAACTATGAGGCGCCGTTTGTCCGTAAATTATTTTTGCTATATATAAGAATATTTTTTATATATAAACTTTAAATTTCCTATATAATATATAAATTTTTTAGTTTAGATAATTCTGCTTGAGAATGAGGGCGCTTTGTGGTAATCAACTAAAAAGCACTGTTGCCAGAGTGTGCCAATGCAAAGTTTTGGTCAGTGTTTCCAACATAACGTTTCGCCAGATCTGGCAGATTTCAATAAACGTCGATGAGAAAAAGATACTCTTACGGCTGACGGATTTTTTAACGGAAACTTGAACATAATATCGAATGGTATTTGTCATAAGATTTGTACCTATATAATTTAATTTGTAAGAGTCCAAGTTTTAAAAAAAATTCTTTGTTTTTTTAAATACCTATTAGTAAAAAAGAAGCCGTGTTTATTTAGAGAAATAGAGACGGCCAAAGAAGAGAAATGTTTTCTTCAATAAAAATAGACCAACCGACCAATATATTACCTAAAAGTATTTAAAAAAAACTAAAATCCTATACTTTTTGCTATCATTTTGTTCCGCTAGATCTGGCCGAAGATCGGTTATGTTGGAAACACTGACCAAAACTTTGCATTGGCACACTCTGGCAACAGTGCGTTTTAGTTGAATATATTCCACAAAGCGCCCTCATTCTCAAGCGGCATTATCTGAACTAAAAAGTTTCTATATATATATACATTATCTGAACTAAAAAGTTTCTATATATAGGAAATTTAAAATTTATATATAAAAAATATTCTTATAAATAGCAAAAATTTACGGACAAACGGCGCCTCATAAAAAACTGCTTCTAACTCGATTGTTGGTCTATTTTCAAGGAATATAATAATATTAGATATTCGTAGAAAAAGTATAGTATGCAACTCGTTTATAAACTTTTTTTGACTAAAATGGCGTTTATCAAACTTATTTTATTCTGACCCTTGTTATTTTTATTTAACTAGTGAAATAGTATTGTTTCCAAAAATCTTTATATACTCATATAAATATTTAGCCAGCAACCACAGAGATACGTGAACGAAGATACGAGCAGGTTGGAGAGAAGAATCGACAATTTGGCGAAAGGAATGCAAATATTTGCTGCTGCTTTAAAAATTGTAACGTCTGACGTGGGATGGATCTCTAAAAATATATCCGGAATCGTCAATACGACTGGGTTATTATAATAAATAGGATAATATTTATGCCATAAACTAAATATACTTTTTATAGCACTTTACTTCAAGAGCACCAAAACATCGTTACCAAACAGTTTCTAACTAATTCACTGGTGGATATAAGGTTACACCAGTTGTATCCACCTAGTCATGCAACAAACTATAATGGAGCTCTTTCAACTGGTGAACTCTTAACCGAAAGTATACCGAAAAATTGCAAAGATATTTTGGAAAAAGGAGAAACTAAAACCGGTATATACTTGATACAACCGAATGGGGTCAGCAAACCTTTCATGGTTCTTTGCGATATGGACACCAGAGGGGGTGGTTGGACTTACATTCATAATAGATTCGAAGGATCTCAGGACTTTTTCCTGGACATGCATAACTATAAGTTTGGTTTCGGCAATTTGGGCGGCGAATTTTGGCTTGGACTTGAAAACATTCATCTTCTAACAGGTTATACACATCAAGAAAATTGTTTGCCAACTTTAGATAATATTTTAGGTTCCGAAGTTAACGAATTATTGGTGGAATTGGTGGATGCCAATGATGAAAAGGCTCACGCTCACTATTCAGCCTTTAGTGTGGGTTCTGAAGTTGAAGGGTATTCTTTGAAAGTTTTGAGTGGGTATACTGGCGATGCCGGAGATTCTCTGACATACCATGCTGGAAGTAGATTTAGTACGAAAGATATGGATCAGGATGGGTGGTCTGATGGAAACTGTGCTTCATCTCATGGTAAGTCTCCATTATTTTTATAAATCAGATTTGTTTGTTTGTTTGTTTGTTAATTTTGTAATTATTTTAATAAAGGAAAAGATTTTACCGAAAGTTTTGTAAAGGTAATATGCATATTTTTAAGCATTTTGTTAATTTCAAAGGTTACAGATTATTTTGTTAATGTTCAAAAAATTATTTCGTTGAAAAAATACACGTTATTTTGTGCAGTCAATCAAAACATTTTCCACTGACAATACGCATCAACAAGTTCAACTGGCTTCAGCGTCTGCAACTTATTAATAATTCGTAACGTGTTCGTAACAACTGTCCAGAGTGTTTATACAGGGTGTCCCATAATTAGCGTATTTAACACCAGATTTTACGTACAAAAAAAAGAAAAAAAGTTCCTATAAAAATAGGTCGAGAAATGATTTTCAAAGGAGCTACAGCCCCCGAAAGAGGAGTCCCTGAAGATGGTTTTTATTTAATATCTCCAAAACTGTTTAAGATAGAAAAGTGAAATTTTGGTTAATAATAAATTCAAAATTTTCATAAGGTGTGGGTCAGATAGAAAGGGAGTGGGTGGTAAAACTACCCTAACTTCTTTGTACGTATCTTGTGCTATGATTTGATATCAGATTACACAATTTCAGAGTTTTACATACAAAAAAGGTCCTCTTGATGAACTTCGATAGCATGCACCGTTTTCGCTTGAAATCGATTTAAAAATTACCTTACATGGCATAAAAATTCATAATGAAATCACAACTAGAGAAAAAGATTCAGCGTAGGCCATGGACAATTTTTAACCATGGCCATGGACAATTTTTAAACACTCCGTCACATATTACATGAAACTGTCACCTGTCTTAAATAATTTTTCCTAAAGATGGCAGCTGTGTTTCATGGCCTACTCTGAATTTTTCTCTCTGAATTCATTATGATCTTTTATGCTATGTAAGGTAATTTTTAAATGGATTTTAAGCGAAAACCGTGGACAATATCAAAGTTTAACAAAAGGACCTTTTTTGTGTGTAAAATTCCGAAATTCCATAATCTGACATCAAATCGTAGCACGAGACACGTACAAAAAGTTAGGGTGGTTTTAACCCCTATTCCCTATCTATCTGACCTCAAGGATATTTTGAATAAAAACCATCTTCAGGGGCTCCTCATTTAGAGGCTGTAGTTCCCTTAGAAAGCATTTCTCGGCCTATATAGGAACTTTTTTTCTTATTTTTGTACGTAGAATCTGCTGTTAAAGTATTGCACGCTAATTATGGGATACCCTGTGTAAACTGCGCACCACTCAATGTGTCGCGACCAAAAAGTTCGTCCTTTTTCAAAACGACATAACTTTTTTGTTTCTTAAACGATTTTATTTTGGTCTGTGCTGTCTGCTAGCCCCATCCTCTGGCAATTCATGCTATAGATATGAAGCTCACGGTTCTTCAAGTAAATTTTGTACAGGGTGATATGTAAAACGGTGAAAAATTTCAATAGCTTCAGTGGTTAAAATTAACAAATATTTTTTTGTTTATTATTTAGGTGGTGCCTGGTGGTATAGAGGCTGTGATACCAGCAACTTAAACGGTAGATATCTTAACGGCGAATTACCGGAAAGTTACCTTTACACAGGTATGTACTGGGGCGATTTTAGAGGGGCCCAATATAGTTTATCACAAGCCAGAATGATGGTACGACCCAGAGATACCAGCAGCTCGCCTATTAGACCAGGTGGAAAGGAAATCAATTAGATTTTTTTATTAAACTTTACATTTTTGTGTTCAAATTATATACTGCCAAATATGCTGTTTAAAATAAATGTTTTGTATAATAGTTTATTTTATTTTATTTACTACATCATAATTAAGTAATTGAACATCTGCTGTGCATGTTTTATAACTAATGAATTGCCAACAATTAGGAGTATTAAATAAAGTTATATTTAATTGAATATGAGAAACTACTTAAATAAAAGTAATAACACGGAAAATTAATTTGTGGCTAAAACCCACGAACAACTTGTGTTATGTAGATGTACAATTTCGGTTTACCGATTGTACGGTTTTATTTCTAAAGTTTTCTTAATTAATTGGCTATCTCTCAACCGCCATCACACGTGTATATTATTTCGTTTTGTTATCTCAAACAATTTAATTGAAACCTGTCTGCTATTTGTTCGATATTCTTAACTTGGTTTACATTGAATAGTCAATTATTTGTTTTTGGAAAATTGTGTATTTTGGCTATTAAAACTTTTAACTATATTTTTATGATTTTAATATAAGAATACATTTTGAAAAAATTGTGCAGATTCTATAATTTTGCATTATTACCATTGCTTTTTTGCTTGGATAAATAATATCATTGTTTATAGAGGTGAAAACAATGATGATTTGTCAAAAAAAAATTCATAATTTTTTTATTAAAAAAACAGTACTTCTAATGCAATAATGGTAGAGGAAAAACTTTCTTGTTTTGGCGTGTACTATCATCCCCCCAAAGGATGACAATTTATTAGGTGACACCCTGTATTATATTATAAAACAAATGCTATTTGACCAAAATTATGGTTATGTTGGGAATCAGCGCACCAAAATAGGGTACTAGAAATGTTATTTAAAGGTTTATTAAAAATGATACCTTAAAATGATGATAATCTTAAATTAACAAAATAAAATATCAAACATTTATGATGACAAGCTAAAAATAAGCACAAGCAAAAATGATGAAAAATAAAAACAAAATAAAATAAAATGCTAATGGTGATAAGCTAAAATAACATCTAAATGACAATAAGGTAAAATAAAACAAAAATAAACAAAAATTGTTCAAAATTTCTTTTATCTACTTTTACATTGACGAGCTGTGCCTTTATGGCGTTTTATTCACGGGTTGAAGTTAGCAACAGTGTCTTTTGGGCATTTTAGTCACGGGCTAAAATAGTATATTATGTATCAAGTTTTATAAACGCCATTTTAGTTACGAGTTTAATTAAGCACGAGCGAAGCTTGCGAGCGAGTGTTTAATAAAAACGAGTGTCTAGAGAAGTTTATAAACGAGTTGCATACTATACTTTATCTACGACGAACACAAAAAAGAATTTAAAGCCAATTTTATTTGTTAAAATTTTGACATCTGTCAACTGTCACCCGAATTTAACCTCACTTTTTCCCAATTTATAATAAAGCTAACTTCAGCCCGTGACGTAAAATGTCGAAAAGCCACTGTTGTTAACTTCAGCCCGTCAATAAAACGCCATAAAGTTACAGCTCGTCAATGTAGGAGTAGATAAAAGCTTTATTATAAGGGTCGTTTTCAAAAAACACCCGCCCTCCGCTGCCCGTAAGTTTGAATTCCAATAACTTTTGTTAAAAATTATCGGATCTTATTGATTTAACAACCAAGTGAAAGCCTAACAAGCCCTTAGTAAACTAAATTTTGAAACTTGTAAAACACACATTTTCGCATGTCCCATTAGCGTTTTATAAAACTCACATACATTTTTTTTAAATATTGAATAACCAGAACTTTGTGTTGCTTTATAGCAATCCATATCATCCTTAGTTAATAAAGTAAACAATTTATATATAAATTAATTAATTTTAATCTACTTTTTTTAAATTTGACTTATGTCCCAGACATTTTTTCCGCTGCGTTACGTCCGTCGCGTTACCGATAGAATATTTAAAAAACATATATATGGCAACTTTTTTGGCACTCACGTGATTAACAAATGATGTTCGGACGTACACATTACCCAGCTGAATTTATTTATTTCAATCAGGAAGAACATATCGGTTGAAACAGGTGCGGGTAACGCGAATAATTGTTTGTCCGTTAAGTTACTCAAAGAAATAAAAAAAATAAGGTAAGAAAAAATACTATTTTTCTTGTTTATGTTTATTTTAGGGCACTAAAGCTCATTGAGAGTAATTAATGACTGTTATGTTTTATAATTATTTTTTAAATATGTTTTCACAAAACTGTCCACTGCGTTACCGAGTACATTACGTTACCTTATGGTAACGCAATGAAATTTAGGGTAACGCAATAGAATTTTTCGACAACAAAGTGGATATTTACCGTCGCTTTTATTAAAAGTAGTTTATGATAAACCAATTTAAAATTATTTGTGATTACAACTCATGATATAGATTACATAATCTAATAAATCTAAGTTGTTATTCTGCAAGTGAGCACCACTACAGGGGATTTTTTCCTGAAAGCGGGTGTTTCTTGAAAATGACCCATAAATTGCGAAAAAGTGTCAAATATTTATGTATTAAAATTGGCCTTAAATTCTTACTTCTTTTAGTTGTAGATAAAGTATAGTATGCAACTCGAATTATAAACTTCTCTAGACACTCGTTTTTATTAAACACTCGCTCGTGCCTAATTAAAATGCATTTATAAAACTTAATACATAATATTAAAATGGTAGAAACCAAAAATATTTCAAAATTACAAAGTGCTTTAAAATAGCAAACATTTTTTTAAATGTCCTTACAAGTGGTCCAAAAGTCACTAAATAATAATATATAAAATATTTTGAAAAGGCAAAGAGCGCAAACAAATTTTTATATTAATTTTTTTTAAATTTAGTTTCATAAGATCGAAAAACACATATTTTAACTAAATTTGCATAAATCCATATTGGATACCTATAGGTATATATGTTGTATGCTTAACGCTGCAACGAAATTAAATTCTTAGGGCTAACTGGATTAAAGACTTTCCTGAAAACAACATACACACTAGCACCTAAATTACCTCACTAACCTATCAATTTAATGTTTTTAATTGACCTTATCAATTAAAAACATTAAACTATTACATTAACGTATTATTCAAATGTATACTCTCGTATTAAATATTATTAAATATTATTTAATCTAAAGCACAATGACTCGTGTAGACCATTTTTTAGAAATTTAAAATTCTCACAGTAATATCAATTTATATACTAGAATGTGTTAAGGAAAAACTCATTTTTTTATAGACAATTCTTAACTCATACTTATGAAACTAGACACCAAAAACTTTTAATTCTTGATAAAACAAATTTGTCATTAGTTCAAAAAAGTGTGAAAAATTAAATAATAAAAATGTATAATCATATTTCAAATTTTAAAATATTTTAGTTGAAAGCCTATTTTAAAACATATTTGTTATTTTATCTTTACCTGGGATGTTAAATTTTTGCTAATACTACACGCATTTTATCTTAAAATTGAAGATGAGGTATTCTTATAAGGCTATAGTAGAACTGGTGTCCGGATTAAAGAGAGTTAAGTGGTGCATGACCGGGCCCGCTGAAACGCTGCAACAAGATTAACGAGTAATTTCGTCGAAACGGTTTAATCAAAGGGTTTATTTTTTAACCCGTACTTGTCTGAAGACGCGCTGGAAAATTGCTTTGCGCAGACGAAAAACATGTTTCGCTCGATTAGACGTTGTTTATTTTGCTGGACGTTTGATTTCAAGTGGATGTGCGAGTTTTGCTGTAGAGAACAAAAAGAATTAATTACGTTTTGTTGTACTTAAATGGATTGTGTCGACCTAATTTGTTGTGTGGAATTCTTTTAATTAATATAAAGTTTCATAGCGCTGCTTATGGTTTCTATGAATCACAAAACCAGGGAGCCACTGGATGTCACTAACTTATTCTACATTGTTTTAACCACTAATAAAACAATGATATTATTCATCCAAGCCAAAAAGAAACAGGTATGCACACAGTGTATTATGTAATATCAAACAAACTTTTCAACTTATTCAAAGTCGGTTTAGGTAGGTACATTTTTATCATTGATTACTGAGAGTTCGGTTATTATTGTGGTTTCTCTGGGGCTACATGAACAGTTTAGTGTACCGGAGAGAAGTTGACACATTAGAACAACTCCGCGAACTTGTCACTGCAGCGGCAGATAAAATCCGAAAACATCCGGATATGATGGCAAGAGCGACACATCATAATTTTCTAAGCCGCTGTCAACTTTGTGTGGATAATAATGGCAGGATAGTTAAACATTTATTATGAATTTGTGGAACACTTAAAAAAATAGCGACATGAGCATCAATCGACGTAATAAGGTGAAATTCAAAATCGACGGGAAAACTACGGAAACCTCGAGATACCAATAAAAACAATAAATAACAATAAAAATTAAGTGTTGTTTTATTCAAAGTACCTATGCAAAACAAAAAACAATTATCAACAAAGTATACTATATATACTATACTATATATTATAATCACTATAGGTATATACTATACTATATATTATAATCAATGATAACAAAATGTAAATTTTGCGTTAGTTGTCGTAGGTCAGAAACAACCAGTGGCGGCCCAAAATTTCTACTTTATTTATAACAATTTTAATGATTTTTTAATAAAAAAAAATGGCACTAATGCAAAAATGATGGAGGAAAAACTTTCTTATTTTGGCGTACTATCATCCCCTTAAAGGAGGACACACACCCTGTATAAAGCAAAATATTTTTAAGCCATCATAAAATTACTTATAATTAAAGCTCACACCATCTTATTAACTATCCAATTAACAGGTGATCAAACGGACAATATACCCAAATTCTAAACCCACAAGTTTCCTATACATCAAAAGCTATGACCTGAATTACAGCAGGTTAATTGCAAATCTAAACACAAATTTAAGTAAAATTTGTATAAAAGAAATTAAGGTCGAAATATTATCCGATAAATCTTCAAACGCTTAGCATCAATAAAAAGATCTGGTTTGAATTAGTTTAAAACAGAATTTTTCTTATAAATAA